AAGTAAGGACGATAATATTTATGGCAATAATGACGACTTGCAAGATAGGTTTCAAACTAACGTTAGAGTGGACCGACAGCAACAGCAGCTACAATATTCGAGCTGCTACAACTGCTGTGCTCGAGGATTTTTCGAAAGATGTGACGGGAAATGCAGTGCATGTTTTCATAGTAGGTTGACTTGATATTTTTATTCAATATGTTATCCTTATAATAATTCAAACCAATGTATAATTTTCTGACTGACCTGTGTAAGATAAAATGTATCTAAATCACTTAAAAGATGTGACAGAGCTTTAGGCCTATGAAGCCTATAAGCCTAGTATGTGATACCAAGTATGTTTAGTGAATACATACATTTCAGAAAAACTTGTCTGAGCTATCTGGTCAGTACTAATTAACGAATTAAAATAGAATTGAGAGGTTGAACAAACCATAATAGGCGCAGGTAATGGCCAGTAAATGTAGTTTATATAATAGCCATTTTCCTTTCCTTCGGAAGATTAACATTTACAACTGTTTTCATGGTTCTTAAGAACTTTTGATAATTTATGCGCTTTGATCCTATCAAGCTGAAGAGAGTACGTGTTATTCTTAAGCGTTCACAAACAAAGTATGGTATGATGAAACATTCTATCCAAACGGCCAATTGAACCAAAGTATAAAATTATAAGTTTTTGATTATCCCGGCAACGGGGGTAAACGGAGCACCCGGCCCACAAATATGCTATGTAGTTTTGCTAGAGGTTTACATGTAGGTCCATAGCTTGAACTCAGTAATTTTTATATTATATATATTAGGCTGATAAAATAAGCACATTTTGCAGTTGCGTTTTGCAAAATGATTGTGCTTATACTTCCTACTGCGCTTAGCAAGAGTAATCTGCAAGGGTCATAGAAACGAGGCGGAGAAGAATCGTGCTATCGAAAGAGCTTAATTAAATTAAAATACGTAGGGGAAAACCGAACTCCCATAGCAGACAGTCCTTAATTTCATCTGTTGAATACGTTAGACTGTCTATTTTTAGAATGGAAATTGTTTTTTTATAGAACCCTGCTTGAGTTAATCATGGCACCAAAAAGCGTTGATGCACTTCTAGTACTCACAGTACAGAGCGTGCTACACAGAAGTTTGGCTTCCTTGACCGAAAAAAAAAGTTTAACTTTCTCTAATTAAACATTCAGTGTAATGTGACTGTCTTTCGCTCTTTTAGGTAGAAGCACACCACGACGGTACCTAAATCATTCTTGCGTGAAAAAATATTTCCGTATTGGCATTAGAGTAGCGCGACTCGCGTCGTAAATGGCTGGCCCTCGAGACGTTTTTCTTATTTTGTAAAAGTATATTCAAAATTACATTAGTTACAGGAATTTAATTGAATAATTTCGACAAACATAGTGGTAATCAGCGTTGTCTATTCTGTCGAAGTCAATCGTGGCCTGAAGGCAGCTGTGTTTTGGGACCGCAGTCATATGAAAGCTTTCTCATGCTTTGACACTTTATTGCGGGTAAAGGGTAACTACAAATTGAACAAAAACATCATGTCAAATTTCATAGAAGCTTCATTGTAGCTCATTTGCGGCACTACTGTGATAATTCTGATTCGATCTATCGTTGATGTGAAACTGCCGAAAGTGTAGCTTGTGGTGTGCGCCTATTAAGTTAGCATTAAGTCAAATTTTCGTTAGCCAAGGACTACATCAGTTAGAACATGAAAAAAGTCATGACTGTCTTTTTTAAGAATTTGTGCCAGCTAAAATAATTGAACACGGCGTATTAGTTGACTGTCGACATCTAAACCCGACAGATCGTTTAATATACGTTTTACGGGGTTCATTACAACTGCAATTGAACGATCTGATAAGGTTTTTGTTTCAGCGTCATTATCACGACAATAACTGGATTGGTATTTCGAACTATGTAGCATCATAAAGAATCACAATTGCAAAACGGATTTACGGCTGTACGCATTATGCGAAATATACGGAGTTTACAGCCTCAAAACAGATTGACGAGGTCTTGAATTTTCCGGGAAGTTTCAAGTTAATGAAATTTACTAATTCTTCAATGATGGTGTCTCAAAGTAGCGATCGCGTAAACTGGCGAATATTTATGTTTGATTCGGTGGCTCTATTGTGGTCAAGTAAAGGTTAAATTACTGGGAACGTTACTATCTTTGCTCTCGCCATTAGGGCCTAGCTCGGCAGTTTTGCCTGGTTATACCTCCTTTCCATGTTGCTATATGTGCCTGTAGACTCCCGTCTCGCCAACCTCTCGCTCACGTGGTACTGCCGCCAAATACCGCCAACTAGTATTAGCAGACAGAGAAATCGCCAGTTTGTCCAGAGCAGCTGTGCACTGGTGTCGTGTGTTCGTGGTAAGAGTGCTAATAATGACGGTAATGACACCGCCTGCTCTGCAGCACTTCCTACCAAGTATCAGTTATGCCACGCGTTGTGTTAACTTAGAACATAAAACACTTAGTCTCTAGGTCATGTTGATCTTCCGAGCGTAAATATTTTTGCTCATTATATCCTCTTCAAGTTTTTGTTACTTGTAAATTTGGTAAAGATAGTAAGACGCTCTTCCCATTCGTATGACCTTTTAGATGTCGTTATTATATGATGATTAAATTCTACAAGTGAAAGCATCAAGTTCAACAAGAACTTGTGTGCGGCCTAGCCAAAGAGTGAGGAGAAGTGCAAGCGGACCGCTAGATTGACGGTTAACATCGTTAGCAAGAGCTCAATGTAGGTTCGACCTTTAACGGAAGTTGAACGATAAGGGTGCATTCGAATTGTGATAAATTGCTGTTGTGCTTAAATAACTTTAGTACTAGAAGAAAGGATCTCACCAAGAACGGACCAAATGGGTTTTTTGTTGCTCCAATTGGACCCTATACAGGATCTCCTTTGGGATGAGGCGTGGGGAAAGGATATAAACCCTTTTTATTCACCTTTTGCCAGCGTATCAAGCAGTGAGTATGCCGCTTCCATAACTTTCTTGGTGTTGTTTACCTACCGGGAAGTGTTTCAAGCTCGGTTGCTTTCTATGAATTTAACATTAATGGAAAGCCCTCTAATGTTTGGATTTGGTCAGCGATATCCCAAGTATGTGATTAACTTACGTGGCGAATTCGATAATCCGTTTATTGCTACGTAATCGCACTCGCTAGTGCCTGACAGTATAGAATGGAATATGTCGGATACTGGTAGGCGTCCGAATTGCCGACGGATGTGTTCATTAGCCATGAAAGCGGTCAATTGAAGTTTCTCTGCTACACGAAAATACCATGAAACCGCGAATCTTCTCGGTACAATTCGAGCAAAGCAAGTTGTCGCATGTATTCATGATGGTTCTTGGCGTCTGATTCTTCCGTTATTTGCCAAATTTCTGAGCGTGTCTATGGCGACACATTTTATTGCGGATAAAATTGAAATAGCTACCGGGTATCAAACGTTAAATTACATCAATGCACATATTCACCTGAGGTGAATTTTAGTCGAGTCGATAGATTTCAAGCAATGATTCAAGGAGGAATGACACACGTATTGGCATCATTTTATAGCGCCGATTTTCTGTTGCATATGACCAGAGATAAACTAATTTTGCCATCGATGGCTTTTTATGCGACCTATGTGGCTAATTTGCTACAAATTGCAGAAATGGCTTCTCATGTACGTCAGGTTTTTTGTTAGAATCAATCGAGTAAGCCTTCAAGCTAAGGGCATCAGGGTACAAAGGTATCAAGGCTTTATCGTGTATTTGATTAAATTTAAAAACCAAGATATTTAAAAAATTGACAAGTTATTATCTTAGGCGATCTTGTAGAAAGGGTTTATTCATTACAGCGGATCATTAAATGTATAAAAATTGTGTGATCAACCAATTTTTCGATGTGGACAATATTCATGTCCTCCTAAAATCAAGCTTTCGCAAACAATGGGTATAATTTTTTTACATATCCTCTCACATAAAAAAAAATAAAATTAGAAAATACATTAAACAATATATAAACACAAAATGGTTTTTATTTAATCGCTTTGCTGTTGGGTAGCGTGAATCTACGTCGTTGGCAGCGATTGATTCTGTTAGTCGTAGTGTTCGACTGAGGTGACTCTAGGTAGACGCTCTAATGTTAAGATGTTTCGAATGAAGATTTTATCTGCCGAGCCTCCGCCACGAGCCACCTATTATTGTGAATAATGATCCCTAGGTATTAAGGCGAAAAATCGACTTTTTAAACCGCAATCTATATCTTTTAGCATGCGCAGAGCATTACTGTTTGAATAGGGATGCAAGCTTATAATTCAAAAATTTGTTTTTTAGTTATACGGTTTTTGTTTTTCTAAAGAAGTTTTTCTTATTTAACTTTAAGCGAAAGAAAAAATTCCCAGTGGAAAATGAAACGATTTCGAGGTTATTGTCACATTCTGCAACAAGGTGTCATCTTTTTTAAGGCGATTTTTCTTGGCTATGGCGCACGCTGCCATTTAAAATTAGGTACAGCCTCCACTACTATTTACAAATGTAATGTTACACAGCTCTAGTCATTCAAATTTCACGCAGTCAATAGATATGGAAACTGTACGTTTATACTATGTATGTAACAAAGTCTTTGCACGGATTTCTAACAGTATCTTTGGGATACTATCATTTAACATAAACTGACATCGGTGCCGCTAAAAGCATACAACCAATGTATCTTACAAAAAAAGAGAACAAATATATAAAAATGCATTTGTTCAAGCCTAATTGGCTATCTATTGACTACAGGTACAGACTGTTGACTGTATTGTCATCAGAAAAAAAAAATGCACGCACATGCCACGTGGTGAAAAGAGCATTTTTAAAGCAATCGCTTAAGTATTTAGATAAGTGTTCCGATAGAATTAAATTACGATGGCCGTTTCCATAATCTATGCCCCACAGATTATATACTATTCAATTAAAACTTACGACAAGTTTCAAGTATCCTGCTACTTTACGGAACTATTCAGGTGAGGACGCACTAGTCCCAGACGACTTTACAGAAGCCGAGTTGCGGGATGGCATCTGGTGGCGACATCTAGTGTCAGGAGGAGTTGCCGGTATGGTCTCACGAACATGCACAGCACCCCTTGATCGTACGAAGGTATGCCATTTATTCTTAAATAGCAGTATTGCACTTCCTACTTAGGGAATCGAAGTATCTAATATTTATATTCAAATGCTAAACTATTCCCTTTTTTTGATTTTCTAACTAAATGCGAAAATGATTTGCTAAATGTAATTATCAGCAATTCAGATTTTTATTTACTTTTAAATGTTCGTTTATAAAAAACCTAGGCTAGAGGTTCTTTAACGCATAGAAGCCGATATTTAAAAGCGTAACAATGAACTCGACGACTATATGCAACTATGCCCAATTTTCGCCCCAATCACCACGCTATATATTTACTGTGGGACTGTAGCGATCAAGCCCCGAGTGTGTTGTTGATCCTAAAAGGCTAGCTAGCTTCGGAAATAATTAATCCCGACGCGACACTGAACCTTTCAGCGCATGGTTGTGAGTCTGGCGTCCACACTTCTGGGTACTGTGATGCTAAAGAGCGTGATTGCGAGTCCCATAGATAGAAGTTTTGTTTGTTCGTTCATATTTTTGAATTTATTTCCTGTGCTTGTAAGACCCTCCTCGCCTTTTGCTGTCACGCTGTTGTATTACGACCTCTGGAGAAAGAACTCAAGTGCTCTGCCCAGCGTTTGTGTTGGCGGTAAATACAAGCCTCGTGGGCATCCACTGCTCATTCAACTATTTGTTTTAAATGCTTGTTGATTGCTTTGTTTTAATAAAAAAAATAGGAGTTATTATCATAAGTTAATGCTGTACGTCCTAAGTCGCCACAAGCCCTATATACTGAACTATATTTAAATCGTATATTGAAGTGATCAAAGACATTATTTTAATAAAGATGCCCAAGCAAAAAAAGCAGAAGGCATGTTCTTCGTAAAATTTGCACAACTGTATTTTGTAAATTTAGGATTAATAAGTTGCAGGGTATGGCGTTGAGTATTATTAGGTCACGATTGTATCGAGTGCAGTAATATTATTCTATTATACAGTTTTATAGGACGCCTTGGGTGATGAGTCATGAAATTACTGCGATTTCACCCGATACTACGTTTGTCTGGTAGACCTTTGTACCCGAGTGCAATAAGGAGGTAATGACACTCTCTACTGGCTGGTTACCTTTCATGAATGATTGGTGCATCGTGTGGTAGATTATCAGTTTTCTATACGAGAACTGCAAAGTTCACCATTTGAGTTATCAGGACCGCAGCAAAGATTACGATCAATCTGCAATTCGTTTAGAGGTACAAAAGTCACTGGAAATTTCGAGATTAGAATACTTGAGTTATTATGACCATGTCTCGAATGTGGACTTGGGGGCAATATCCGTATTTGTTCGCATGTTCCGAAACGCCCCTATTCCTTAATGCTGACGTGCGGAAAACTAATGTCAAGACGCACTTTTCAAAAATCGGAAAAAATAGGGAGTATAACTAATTCTCTTTATCTATATGTAATTCGGTAAGAATGTGCATATAGTTCCGCTTATGCTTAGGGATGTACGCTTTATACTATGTGCGTTTACAGCTCTATCTTCAAGTTCATGGCAAAGAATGCGGTTCAGCGTGGAACTGCTTACAAATACTTAAAAAAGAAGGCGGCATTCGTGGTCTTTGGCGCGGCAATGGAATAAATGTGATGAAAATTGCTCCAGAATCCGCTTTGAAATTTCTAACTTACGACCGATTAAAAAACATCATTCGGGTAAGTGTTGTTTGACATAGGACTACTATAAAACGCTTGAAGCTAGAAAGCAATTGACATGTGTTCAAAATCTTGTAATGTACGCTGCACGTTGTGTATATATTGAAGTATTGTGACTAGCGTTTTCAGCGATACGTGATCTCGCTATAC